ATAACTTTGTATGTAATACCCATAGTGGGTAGTACTAGATATGTTGTTTAGGCATTATTTATGTTTTCACATACAGCATTTAGATTTTAATTCCAAGTATGAATAGTACTTTAGATTGTGCTTTATTTTTTGATTAAAGGAGTTGACTTGAAAAAAAAATAATGCTTATGATAGTCAAATAAATTTGCATATATGTAACTAGCTGGGATTAGTTTTCCTGGGGGAATGCTAATAAGAATCTGAAATGAGAAAGAATAATGAAGCTGATGAAACACTCCCTGTTTATAGCAAACTTAAATGAGCATAATTATGTTTTTAACGAAGTTTTGATTGAAGGCTACTTGGGATCATAAGTAAAACTTGGTTCTCACTTTATGAATATAGTCATTTCAACAAGTATTATCTTTTTACATATCAAGGATCCTAACTTAGTCTATGTGGAATGCTAATAAAACTAGCTAACACCCACATAGTATATTGGTTAATTTTATGTGTCAATGTAACTAGCTATGGGGTTCCCAGATTAAACATTATTTGTGGTGTTTCTCAATGAGATTGGAATTTGAATCAGTGGACTCAGTGAGGTAGATTGCCTTCCCCAATGTGGATGGACATCATAAGGCAAAGGAAGGAGGAATTCACCCCTTTTTCTGCCTTACTAACTGAGCTGGATATCTCATTTTATCTTCTCTTGACCTGCACATGGCAGACTGTGGGACTTCTGGTCTCCACGATCGTATGAGCCAATTCCTCATATTCATTCTCTCTCTTTCTTTCTCTACCCTCTTGCATCCCGCCCCCCTACTTGTTCTATTTCTCTGGAGACCCCTGACTAATACACATAATGTTTACTATCTGCCGGGCCCTATCCTAAAAGCTTGGAGTAACTCAATCTTCTGAATACCCCCAAAGCAATAGGTATTTTCATTATCTCCATTTTACACATGAGGAACAGTGAGTTTACTAACTTGTCCAGCTAGTGGGGAGAGTACCAGGATTTCAACCCAGTCAATTTGACTCCAGAGTCTGGCTTCTTAATCACTATGCCATTCTATACTCAACATCCACGATCGAGGCACGACACGAAACTAACATGCACATGAACTACTTGGAATTGATTATGCAAGTACCAGAATAATGAACAATGACGCCTCCTCCCAGGCTGGAGGCAGGCACTCCATACAGATTGGGGGAATCAACGATTGTAAAAAATTCTGCTAATATTCCCTCTTTTCCATGGACATTAGCTACTGTTAATAAAATACATAGGAAGTGAAATCTTGCAACGTTTCCTTGTTTCTGAAGACACTTATTCAAGAAGAAATAAAAATGAACTGCATGACTAAGACGTCTCAGAAATAACAAATCTGCTTAATAAACTCAACAAAACCCACTTCTAAAAAAGAGAAATGGAGAAATAGGGATCAGTTCCTATAGCCATTAATGCCTCTGCTTATAAACAAGATTCATACAGGTTTTCTTTTCCTTCTGCTCTCTCTGCCTTTGTCTCCCTGGAGTTTCCTAAATAGACTGCAGCAAAGAGATAACATACCTTCAGGTAACCCAGAATCCTACACCTCAACAGTGAAAACTAAGGAAGGAGAGAGCATGCTTCATTCCCGGAGTTTGTCAAAGGTGCTCGCATGCTAACCTTACCCTTTGACATAGATGTCGCTCATCTCCTCTCCTGTGATGCTTTTCTCGTCCAAGATAACGTCCTTGGTGTTCCAGATGATCACACGGAGGTAGAATCTAAAAAGGAGCACATTTTGAAGGTGCTTTTTTCCTCTGGTCCTGCACCAAGACCCTAGGCCAAGGTAGCAGGGTCTCAAGATTACTTACTTCTTGGCTTTCCGGGGTGTGATGTTGAAAGGAGGGCCTGGTGGGCCCAAACTCTTGGGGAAAACATCCACCCACATCTGAAGTTTTCCCTAAGCCATTCAAAAACGAAAAGAGAAATAAAGTTATATTATAGGTGGCAGAGACTACAATTTTCATTCATATTTCCTACGTGAAACTCTGTCTTTGGGCCTGCTAATTGCTTAGTCCACGTAAAGCAAAATAAATAGATAAATAAATAAATAAGAGTTGAAGGGCAAATCCAGGTGAATTTTATATCTTCAATGTCATTTAGGCCACCCGCTCCCTACTCTCACCCAGGAGTCTCTGCTGGCCGCATGTGCCCATCTGTATCAGAGTCTGAGCCCTCCTGGTTAATAAAATGAGGGGCTTTTCATGACTAACAGAACTCCCAATGCACACATACATGCACCCAAACACACTCGCTCACAAATACAAACACACATCCCCGCCCCCCGCCCCCCCCCTCACAGCCACTTCCAGTTGGGCCCTTCACTCTCAGAACCATTCTCAAGCTGTCACTCTATTCACCACCACACCGTCTACTTAATGTCAGTCTCAGTTTTGTGACACCCAAGGGTTTCTCCATTTAACTCAAGATATAAAATCAAAATAATGTAAAGCGGTATTTAATTTTGTCAAAGAAAGACTTAGAACGTGGTGTTTCCAAAGCAGAGACTCAAACGATGACAAGACCCTGACTGTCCCCCCAGGTGGAGGGCTCCCTGACATTGGCTCATAGCGCCCACAGCCGGGAGGAGGCTGGCAGAGTGGATGGTGTGGGAGCATGACTGGCAGGTGTGCCACCATCTCCGCGAGGCCCTGCTCAAGGTCTTTGACAGCCACAGACAGGCCCATCCATCTGACTGGAAAGTTCTTCCAAACAGACGAGGAATGCCATTAGCAAACTATATCGACCATGTGAACCAATTTAAATTCCCCAAACTGCTTTTGGAGGTTCTGTAGACTCTGCCTTCATGACAAAAACAGACTGGCCTTTAAGAAGGTTGCCAAGGAAACCACCAGATTGGCTTCCTGGTGCATTGTGAGCAAAACGAATTAACTGGAGCTCTTGAAAAAGGATATATTTTACTGTGATCCTGACTCTCTTCTAACTAATCTCCGGGCTCAAGGTTCTACAGTACTTCAAGCCTGGAGCATTAGGCATCCAGGTGTCTCCTGAGGCCCAGCCGCAGTGCGGCCAAGGCGGGGCCACCTACCCTTTCCACATTTGGAAGTAGACGAGACTATGTTATAACCCAAAAGCTCGGAAGTCTCTGACTGTCTGCACTATTCTTACTCATGGGGAGGTACCACGGGAAGAGCCCAGACTCAAGGAGACCCAGAGACAGCAACAGACAAGAGACAGAGAGAGGTCCTGGTCCAAGTTTGTTCTGAGTCATAGTCACTCTCCTGGCTGGATTTAGTGAATTGATTCTTACAATAAATTCCCCTTTGGGGTGAAGCTAATCTGAGTTTCATTTCTATTTCTTGTGTTTCTAAAAGTATCCAAAAGAGACAAGTCCGTGTCAACACCTTCACTACATCTGCGGTTTGGATGGTGGGTCCTGGAAGGTAGGGAGCCCCTTACCTGGGAGATGTGGGGCTGGAAGGTGCTGTGCAGAGTTCTGGTTTCCACATGCTCAGGGACCAGGCCCTGAGTCCTGAGGATGTGAAGGGCAAGGCGCTCGTCAGGGGCCCCGAGGTGCTGGTGCAGGATTTTGTTGGCTTCTGAAATAGAAAGCGGCATTGAAGCAGGGATGGGCATCTGGGAACAGGTCAGCCAGGTGGCCTGAGGGCTTTCAGCACATCATCCCAGACTTTGCAAAATGGTCAGGCAGTGCCCGTGTGCAAACTTGGACTTGAGAAGGAATCATTGATAGAAATGGCTCCTGACCAGGGACCCTGCCCCAACCAGGCTCACACCTGACTTGAAGGCTGCAATAGCAAAGGGACCAAACACATGAGAATGTGTGAGGCAGCCCTTGTTCATTTTGTGGCCAAGGCTCGCTGCCAGACTCTGTCTCCCAGACTCCCTTGCAGTTAGGCGTGGCCATGTGACCAGCCTAAACTAGAACATAATGCAGGTGGAAGGGACATGTGTGTCACTTCTAGAACTGGCATGTAAAACCCTCTTGTGCAGAATCGTATATGTGCCTTTCTCTTCTGGATACAGAAGAAATTAGCAACCTTGACACCTGGGCTGAAGAACGGCTGGGCTGTAAGGTGGGAAGACCTGAGTCCATGCAGCACTACGTGGAAGAGGGCCACCGACCTGTAGGAATACCTGCTTTGAATTTATGAGGAATAAACTTTTATTGTGTTAAGCCACTGGAATTTGTAAATTTAATTGTCCCAGCAGCTGGCATCACTGTGGCATTTAAAACACACAGCCCCCAAATTCTTCAACACTCTTCCTACTGAGGCGGTGTGTGTGTGTGTGTGTGTGTGTGTGTGTGTGTGTGTGTGTGTGTCCTCTCTGAGTCTGGAGACTTATTTAACCATTAAAGAAAGGATGCTGTCTGACTTCTGAGGCTAGCTGTCAAAGGCCCCGGGGCTTCTGTCTGGTCCCGTTACGGCACTCACTCTGGGGGATGCCATCCACCAGGGAAGGAACATGGGGACCCAGGATTGCCCTAAGCCTGAGTAGGTCCTCTGAGTAGGTGCCCCAACTGAGCTCCTGGTCAAGAACCAGCATCAACTGCCGGCTCTGTGAGTGAGCGATCTGGACAACCACCACAGTCGAACCTTTGGGTGACTGCAGCCCCAGCTGACACCTGCCAGCAGCCAGCTGTATGAGCAACTCAAGTGAGGATTGCCTGCTTGAGCCCTTCCTGGATTCCTAACCCACAAAACTGAGCAAAACAAAATGGTTGTTTTCAGCTGCTAAGTTTTGGAGTAATTTGTTACATTAACAATAGTAACTGGAACAGTCCTTGTGACTGACAGCTTTTGGGGGGCTACTTTCTGATTGTTTGGGGGTACCCTTCTCCAGGGGGCCCTGTTGCTTGCCAGTTCATTCCCGATCCCGTTTGCAAGTTCTCATGTTAACAGCATTTCTTCAACATACAATCCTCCCTAACACTGACTGAGTCTTCTTCTTCAAAGGAAAAGATGAAGTACAGTGTCTTACAATGTCAGGAATAAACAGTTGGGGATCCAGAAGCGCGTTCAATCCCAGGTGTCTTTGTTCAGCTGTTTTTGGTTATCCCAGGAACCCTCAAGGCCGGCCCCACTGCCACC